ACTGTAAGCTGGATGATTCAGTTGCTGTTGACAGGGAGATGGTACGTAAAGCTGTTCACACCCTCAATAACGGTAAAACACATGATGTATACAACGTTGCAGTGGAGCATTTATCTATGGGGTGATGAGCTTCTGGACCTTCTAACTTTCGGCAGCATCCTCGGAATCATTAAAGTTTTGAAAACTAACACCTATATACAAGAAGAAAGGGAGAGAAACAACTGTGATGCTCGCCATTTCAAACGTCATCGAGTGCATTTTGAGCATTATTACAGATTCGACAAGAATCCACTACAACGGGGCTTTACGGCACATGTGTCCCCAATGAACTGTGCTCTTATCCTGCAAGAGGCCATCTTGTGAACCAAGCACTATAACAAACCAATATACATTACTTTCCTAGACGCCAAAACTGCATTTGATGTTTGTCATGACATACTCTCAAGAAAACCTTTTTACGGGGTGTAACCGGAGTACTTTGGACATTGCCGAATGACTAAAGCGTTGATGCTACTACCCTTGTTTCCTGGAACAACAGTGTTTCCAAACCATTCACTGTACAACAGGGCGTCAGGCAGGGAGGAGCCAGTGGTCAGCACGGAATCTTACAACATACACGTGGACAGCTTATTGGACATATTTCATATAGCAGTGCGCTCTGGCCCCACACCAGACATCTATAAGTCAAAACGTCTAAGTCCGGTGTTAGGGCCAGAGGAAATTCGGGCTACTACAGAGTGTGCGTTCCCCATTAGTAGCAGATATTTGTTCAAATCTGCAAGATTTTATCCCAGCCTGCACTATTTATCAACATCTATTAAGACTCCTATTACGCAGCTGTTGCCTTTTGTGTGATACTCTGCTTTCTGCTTTGGATGTATCTGTCCCTATAAACCGCCTTCAACTCCTAACATCCTAACACGTAGACTATGTAATCGACTACATGTAGTGAGTTGTGAGAAACTGAACAATCAAGCTGTTGCACAGTAGATCTAGAATAGTGGTTGCTCCTGCCCGTGGAGCCACCAGGTGTCCCCCCCCCCCCCCACACACACCTAGTTTATCATGAACTTTATTCTTACCAAGCATTGTATATACCTGTAAATGGTTTTATGGTGAAGAGACCCAATACCCTTGTTTTTACTCCAGTATAACGGAGGTTCTCGTATCCAAGGAGGGAAGTCTGCAACAGAACAGAACAGAACATGACCGATGACTTGTTAGAGGGCAACGAAAGATGGTCACAAATGTGATTTTTACGTTTGGTTTCAGTGAGAATGTTCCAATAATAACGTTGAACTACTTTTAGCTCTCTGTCTTCGTGTCTTCAGATACATTTTAGGGAGATGTGGTAATTGAATACCTCATCAAGCTTATAATGAGATTCGACAGACTTGTTGATAGAGCAGTATAATAAAGGGAAACATGGGCCAGAGAAATATAAAGCCAGACTTGGCAACTCACAAACACACGGTTAGAGCCTATTGTTCTCAGAGATCCGTCACGAGACTTTGGCTGCAATCTCGCATATAGGCGTTATTGTCCTTTTAGGCGTTTGATTGATACACAGTTATATATTTTGTTTTATAATTGCATAAAGTAATGAGTATTGGGGAGATTTTTTTACTTACGGACCGCAACAATTATTTTATAAGATAATAGAAGTCCATCTGAATGCTGAAATAGATGTATATAAAACACCCATGGGTAATTTAATGACGCACATGGTGCGATGAGGACTAAGTAGTGTGTTTACACGTAATTGTTATATGTGAGAGTTCATGTATGAATTTGACAGGGCATACATTAAAGCTAGTAGTATATACGTCTTTGATCATCAAAGAGAATATCATCTGCAGTAAGGAATATAGTCATACTGTCCGCCATATACAATTGCAAAAAGTGGAACAGTTAAACCGGTCGGACCACAGTTGTTCGTTTATTAAATAAGGTCAGACCTAGTAATATGAAGCTGAATTCAGGCGAGCCATGACAAAGTCTTGCAAGGCCTGCATAAACATTTGCATGTTCGCCAGGATTAATACCCGAAATTGTTACATTTTTAAACGGACAAACCCGTTACCGGTTGTTCAGCGCTTTAAGGTCGTCATCAAGTTTTTGGCTTGTGACATTGGGTTTTCTCCCATCCTTTCTAGGTGTGTCTCCCGTTTTACCCGGAAAAAATCAGCTTGTCACCCCCTGAAGGGATATAGCCTCGTGCCGATTATAAATTAGCACGTGTTCAATTGTGACGTCATTAAAATGTGTCACCGATAATTGTGACGTCATCAAAAGTGAATTACGATATTCATACCCCACATGTGTTTTTGTTTATAAACATGGCAGACTATTGTCAGTGGAGTTGTGACTGAAATAAAAGTATGGGAAAAATAATCATCCCCTACCTTGAGGGTGTAACAGACACATCTCCAACCCTCGGTGTATTTTTTTTGGTGGTCTTACCATCGGGTTAGACAACCAAAAAACATCACCACTCAAGTAGGAGATGTCTCTGTCACACCCTCAAGGTAAGGGAAGATTCTATTAATCTCCCTTGCGGACAAGTTTCCATTACGTCATCAAGTTTTTGGCTTATCAAAGAGTATGTTATCTAGCAGGGGTCTAGTTTTCATGATGTCATCAAGTTTTCGACTGATGTTCGAATGAGTTATCTCCCTTGCAGACTAGTGTTCATGACGTTATCGAGTTTCTGGCTTGTGTATATACAAACTCATGGATCACCATCCGACTTACTATGAAGCATCCTTGAAACTACAGAGACTGAGCCCAAAATGGAGAAGTATTTGCAATAATCGTTTTATTGAGTTCTTTTTGCAATGATTGCTTAAATATCCTTTCATCTTCACTAGTACTGCTCCCTATTTATTGTGAAATCAAATCCGATAGTCGTAGTCATCGACTGCTTTATTTCTCTTTCGTCAGCTTTGTGTGAGGGAGTATATTTTAGTTCTTTTTCATGACTTTATCTTCAATTTCAATTCAAGTTAACTTTGATAAATTTATTGCTTTAAAATCAAATGTTTTCTTTTCAAAAGTGTTTGACAATATTGATGATTTTATCATTACCATTAGAATGGCTCACTGAGGAGGCTTGTCTCAGTATAAGAACCACTCCTTGGTAAGGGTTTCCCTGAGGAGGCTTGTCTAAGTATAAAAACCACTCCTTGGTAAGAGTTTCCCTGAGGAAGCTTGTCTAAGTATAAGAACCACTCCTTGGGAAGAGTTTCCCTGAGGAGGCTTGTCTAAGTAAAAGAACCACTCCTTGGTAAGGGTTTCCCTAAGGAGGCTTGTCTAAGTATAAGAACCACTCCTTGGCAGGAGTTTCCCGGAGGAGGCTTGTCTCAGTATAAGAACCACTTCTCGGTAGGAGTTTCCCGGAGGAGGCTTGTCTCAGGATAAGAACCACTTCTTGGTAGGAGTTTCCCGGAGGAGGCTTGTCTCAGGATAAGAACCACTTCTTGGTAGGAGTTTCCCGGAGGAGGCTTGTCTAAGTACAAGAACCACTCCCTGGTAAGAGTTTCCCTGAGGAGGCTTGTCCAAGTATAAGAACCACTCCTTGGTAAGAGTTCCCTGAGGAGGCTTGTCTAAGTATAAGAACTACTCCTTGGTAAGAGTTTCCCTGAGGAGGCTTGTCTAAGTAAAAGAACCACTCCTTGGTAAGGGTTTCCCTGAGGAGGCTTGTCCAAGTATAAGAACCACTCCTTGGTAAGAGTTTCCCTCAGGAGGCTTGTCTAAGTATAAGAACCACTCCTTGGTAAGGGTTTCCCTAAGGAGGCTTGTCTAAGTATAAGAACCACTCCTTGGTAGGAGTTTCCCGGAGGAGGCTTGTCTAAGTACAAGAACCACTCCTTGGTAAGAGTTTCCCTGAGGAGTATAAGAACCACTCATTGGTAAGAGTTTCCCTGAGGAGACTTGTCTCAGTATAAGGACCACTCCTTGGTAAGAGTTTCCCTGAGGAAGCTTGTCTAAGTATAAGAACCACTCCTTGGCAGGAGTTTCCCGGAGGAGGCTTGTCTCAGGATAAGAACCACTTCTTGGTAGGAGTTTCCCGGAGGAGGCTTGTCTAAGTACAAGAACCACTCCTTGGTAAGAGTTTCCCTCAGGAGGCTTGTCTAAGTATAAGAACCACTCCTTGGTAGGAGTTTCCCGGAGGAGGCTTGTCTCAGGATAAGAACCACTTCTTGGTAGGAGTTTCCCGGAGGAGGCTTGTCTAAGTACAAGAACCACTCCCTGGTAAGAGTTTCCCTGAGGAGGCTTGTCCAAGTATAAGAACCACTCCTTGGTAAGAGTTTCCCTGAGGAAGCTTGTCTAAGTATAAGAACCACTCCTTGGGAAGAGTTTCCCTGAGGAGGCTTGTCTAAGTATAAGAACCACTCCTTGGGAAGAGTTTCCCTGAGGAGGCTTGTCTAAGTATAAGATCCACTCCTTGGTAAGAGTTTCCCTGAGGAAGCTTGTCTAAGTATAAGAACCACTCCTTGGCAGGAGTTTCCCGGAGGAGGCTTGTCTCAGTATAAGAACCACTCCTTGGTAGGAGTTTCCCGGAGGAGGCTTGTCTAAGTACAAGAACCACTCCCTGGTAAGAGTTTCCCTGAGGAGGCTTGTCCAAGTATAAGAACCACTCCTTGGTAAGAGTTCCCTGAGGAGGCTTGTCTAAGTATAAGAACTACTCCTTGGTAAGAGTTTCCCTGAGGAGGCTTGTCTAAGTATAAGAACCACTCCTTGGTAGGAGTTTCCCGGAGGAGGCTTGTCTCAGTATAAGAACCACTTCTTGGTAGGAGTTTCCCGGAGGAGGCTTGTCTAAGTACAAGAACCACTCCCTGGTAAGAGTTTCCCTGAGGAGGCTTGTCCAAGTATAAGAACAACTCCTTGGAAAGAGTTTTATTTAGTTTTAGTAACATATTCATATATACATCAACATTTAATTATAGATACATCAAATATTTATATATAGAAACCAGTTTATATAACAAAACACAATCAAAGTTTAACATACAAAGTTTAATGGTTCTTTTTACACAAGCATGAAGTGACAACTTCATAAATTAAATGTCATACTTACATTCAAGTATGGTACCAATAATATACAATTGTACAATAAAGTATCAATGTCATACAATTGTACCATAAAGTATCAATGTCATACAATTGTACAAAAAAGTATCGATGTCATACAATTGTACGATAATGTATCAATGTCAGACAATTGTACGATAAAGTATCAATGTCAGACAATTGTACAATAAAGTATCAATGTCAGACAATTGTACAATAAAGTATCAATGTCATACAATTGTACAAAAAAGTATCGATGTCATACAATTGTACGATAATGTATCAATGTCAGACAATTGTACGATGAAGTATCAATGTCATACAATTGTACGATGAAGTATCAATGTCAGACAATTGTACCATAAAGTATCAATGTCATACAATTGTACAATAAAGTATCAATGTCATACAATTGTACGATGAAGAATCAATGTCACACAATTGTACGATAAAGTATCAATGTTATACAATTGTTACGATAAGGTATCGATGTCATACAATTGTACAATAAAGTATCGATGTCATACAATTGTACAATAAAGTATCAATGTCATACAATTGTACGATGAAGTATCAATGTCACACAATTGTACGATGAAGTATCAATGTCACACAATTGTACGATAAAGTATCAATGTCATACAATTGTACAATAAAGTATCGATGTCATACAGTTTGACCATCAAGTATTACAGGAATCTAATGACAATTTTATGATACACAAAGTACCATCACTTGACCCTCCTAGACTTTCTTCAAGCGTTCAATGAACACAAACAAATGAATTACAAAACAACTGTACTGATGCTCATTTTTCCAATATAAATCTCGGAATACACAATTATGTTATAACACACTTGGTAGCTCATTCTCAACTAGTCCTTGTTGAAATCACAAATAACTAAAATGCTGATCACGTCACTGTAGTCCCAGACTGTTGATGTGGAATAATCACGGGTGATGTACTATTCCAGGTAGGTACACATTTGAAAGCTCTGACGGAGTACTATAAATCCATGTTTCTGTTCACATCTATACTGTTTATTAGCAGCACTGTCTGTTGGTTCCTGTTCACTGTCAATAGAGAAACATCTGAGTAGTCATACAACAAGAGGCCCAAGGGCCTTAGCGGTCACCAGAGTTATATCATAGGTACTGGTAGCTTTATTTTATTGTTAAGATGTGATGTGGAAATCTGCATGTAAACTAAGTGAAATACAATACTTGTCATGTCATCAATGGATAAGAATTTGAAAATATTGGTAAATGTTCCCTTTGGGGCCCCGCCCTAGCCCCTGGGGATGGGGCAGGAATCCTAATTTTACAAAGTAATACTCTCATTTACCCAAGATGATTCTGACTAAGTTTGAGCAATTTTCTGCTGAAAATGGATAAAATATAT